TATGAGCAAGATTTCACAGGAAAAAGAGGTATTAATAATTCCATTTTACAAATGAGGAACCTAAAACTGGCAGGTTAAGCTGATAATAAGGCCAAGTTACATAATTCTGCCTCCTGTGTACTAGAGAAACTATAAAAGAACCATTCTCTCCTCTTCCCCAGAGAAGGGAATTCTAATGTCTTAGAAAGAGAATTGCATGAGCTCTTCCAAAAAGGGAGAATTATTTCTCCTACAGGGGGCATACAGGAGGTGAAATACAAAAATAATTCATCTCTCCCTGAAGATGTCCCCAGTCACTATGGAGAGGCTATAAAGTATAATCAAAGCCAATAATCAGGACCCTCACCTATGTCCCTTAGAGATCTTGGCCAAATATCAATTAAAATTGCAAATACACCCACTCCCTAATCCGGGAAGTCCACTTCCAGGAATTACCACATGCATGAAATGACATACATGTATAAAGTTATTCACTTCAGGATTGTTTGTAATAATAAAAGATCGGAAATAAAGTAAAAACCCATTAACAGAGGACTGGCCAAAAGAAATATGTATATATATGTTCCCTCCCTGCCATAGCTATTGAAGCAGACATGAAAATGAACACAGAACTTTATGGAAGGATGTACAAAATCGTTATTAAGTGGAAAAGTCAGGGTAAAGAATATATGCATGGTACACCAGCATTTGCATAAAACAGGCAAAAATAATTATAAACATGTTGTTCATATATTCATAGAATAGCTAAGTAAGGAGACACACCCAGAAACAATTCTTCTCCAGAGAGGAGAACTGGGTGTGAGAGGTGCTAAGAAAACATGATGATTTTATCATTTTGTACCTTTTGAACTTCTAGCCACGTCAAGCATATTTTTAAATAAACAACACTGCTGTCAAAGTCAAGGAGAAAAAAACCAAGGATGTCACACTGTTAGGTTCCCTCCATGGAACATAAAGAAATAAATAAATAAAACCATTTAACACATTAGTTGTCCCTCTAAAAACAGCTGATAGTTAAAAAAAAAAAAGGTAGTTTGCTTTTTGTCAATTTGGAGAAAGAATTAATTTCTGCCTTGGTAATTGAATTCTTCTATAAAGAGAGGAGAGCACAGTTAATTTTATTTCCTGGAGTCTATCTGTAAAATTCAGTGACTACTTTTTGGATATTTTATTCCGCTCTGTAAAGACTAGTGTAAGATGCCACATTGAATTGAATAGGAGCCCAAACAGATCAGTGAGAACATAATAAAAATAAGCCTTTCAGATATTTATTATCCTAGCTTGGATTCCAGTCATATCTGCAAGTTTTATATACCCTATGAATATCATTTTCCTCAGCCGTCACGTGTGAATGATAATTCCTACCTCATAGGGCTATCGTGAAGATAAAATTCTTATTTATGTCGAAGGCTTTGCACAAGGCCCCAACACTGCAGCACACACAGGAAATGTTAGAAACCAGAGGTAGTAACCAACAAAAAGAAATATTGCAGAAATATCTTTAGGCTTACCCTATAAATTATCAACAAAACCTCTGGAGTCATTTCATACAGTTATAACTAAGCTGAAACCTTATTTATCTTTAAACTCTAATATCTGATGCACTTCAGACCAAATAGATCACTTACCTGAGGGAATAACAAAAGAATTCAAAGTAGTGTTTCCCTTCTTACAAATATAGCCTAGTTTCTGAACACATTCCAGATTCTCCCATTTTGCATTTTTTCCAGGATTTAGTGACACACAGCTTTTTCCAGGTTCAGCTGATGGACTTCCTTTGAGGAAAAGGAGAAGTTAAAGTGGGCCTCTTATAGGTATTCCACGTAGATTCCGTTCCCAGCCTCATGTCCTCCTCCTTGAGATTTAATGGACTCCCGCTCTGTCTTTTGCTACACACTCGCAAATAAATATTTACTGACTGGACAGTGAAAGACACGATGGGTGTCTATTTGTTTTCTTATTGTTGGATCATTCCAATGCCTAAACTGTTGATTATACAAGTATACCTCTTTGAAATGACTTTTCTCCTCCATTACCAACAAATAAAGCTAGACCTTAAAACTTAAACAATCATCACCCTGTACGATAGTATGTATCATAGAGAGGTAGGTAGCAAAAAGAACTCATGATGTTCCAAACCAGCTATCTTTTTTTGTATTATTTCAGCATATTATAGGGGTACAGATGTTTAGGTTACGTATGTTGCCCTTGTCCCCCCTACCCCCCAAGTCCGAGCTTCAAGCATGTCCATCCCCCAGATGGTGCGCATCACACTCTTTGTGTATGCATATACCCGTCCCCTCCTCCCCCTCACACCTCCCCTCTGCCCCACATCCAATAGACGTTATTCTTACATGTACACTTATGTGTTGATCAGCCAAACCAGCTATCTTAAACATTGTCAATACCCACCAAAAAAAGCTAAGTCAAGCTTACGATGAGGACCAGGCTAGGGAATTTGAGGACACGGAGAAATATTCCCCAGTTAGAAGAGACAGGAAAGAAGGTCAATAGAGGAGAGAGAGCCCAATGGAAGGAAGAAGTGGAAGGGAAAGATGCCGTGCTCCCAGAACTGAGACTGTTTCTCAGTACCTTCAACTCAGCCCATTAAAGAACACTGTTAGCAGCTAAGCCTTCATCCATTTCTTACTGGAAGCTGATTGAAGAATCAGATAGAGTGAACATTGCTAATGCAATGGGTACATGCACTGATACCCACACTTCGCAAGCTTTTTGATACATTGATACATGATGTTAAAATCAGTGCTTTGAAAACTACCTTCATCTCACACCTGCAGACAGGGTGAACAGGCCACATTCGGTTAAAAACTCTGCCTTGTGACCTGTGACATGCATATAACCTGTGCCTGAACTTCAATCTCTTCCTGCAAGACGGGAATCATATTACCTGCTCCACAAAGTCGACATGGGAAAGTTTTGAAAGTTATTTAAATACCACGTGCAAAAAAATTGTTAGGAATAAGTATAAAGATGTTTTAAAATTTATAGCTATTGTGACTAAAATTAACAGGATAACTGAACTAACGGATAAGGTAGCAGTTCTAGAAATAAACTTTCAAGAAACAATAATATATTTCATAGCTATTGGTGATTAGTTAGGATATTAATTCATAAACTATGTTATACATTTATTTATCAATACAACACCCCTACCAACTTTAAGATATCAGTTCATGGTCTTTAATGCTTGCCATAGTTATTATATATCGTGTACATATATTATATATATATATGTGCACTTTCTACATCATCAATGTAAAATATTCTCACTTCAAACGTGAATGTATTTTAACAGATGCATTACTTGTTACTCAGTTGGATGCTTGACTGAAAAATTGATTCAAGAACAATTTCTAATATTCCACAAGATTTCTAATTTTAGTTTGAAGAAGCTCTCATACTATTTCAGCAGGTGATTTCATCTGATACCTACTTCTCAGGAATCTGTTTTAATAAAAAGGAGAGTTTTGCCGGGCGCGGTGGCTCACGCCCGTAATCCTAGCACTCTGGGAGGCCGAGGCGGGCGGATTGTTTGAGCTCAGGAGTTCGAAACCAGCCTGAGCAAGAGCGAGACCCCGTCTCTACTAAAAATAGAAAGAAATTAATTGGACAACTAAAAATATATAGAAAAAATTAGCCGGGCATGGTGGCGCATGCCTGTAGTCCCAGCTACTCAGGAGGCTGAGGCAGAAGGATTGCTTGAGCCCAGGAGTGTGAGGTTGCTGTGAGCTAGGCTGACGCCACAGCACTCTAGCAACAAAGTGAGACTTTGTCTCAAATAAAAAAAAAAAAAAAGGAGAGTTTCATTTCCTTTCCCAATCATTCCATTTGCATTCCTCACCTTCACCAAAGGTAACCCCCAAATTTTCTCACTGAAATCATACAATGCCAGTGGTTAAATATTATAGTCATCACTCCCAAATGGAATGATAAATAAAATGATCTGCCTAATGTACAATACTGTAGCAACAAAGAGAAGAATAAAAAGGCTAGTCCCCTAATAAATGATTATTACTGTCTAATGATCTAATTGAGCCCAACTGGTATTTTCCAGTTGAATTTGACTGAATGGGTAAACAGACAAATTAAATTTTCACTCATTAAAAAAAAAGATATCTTATATTCTCTTGCAGTAATATTTATTTTGCATATTCCAGAAGAAAATAGAGCTGATTATCATTGCAAGATTTGAGTGACAGCCCTGTAACCATCATGCATTGAAGGAATGCATTAAAAGTGAAATTTCATAGTAAATTCTAATTCATTTAAACCAAAATATATCCTCTACAAACTCCCTCTCATGTTGCCCGTTTGTTTGTTTGTTTGTTTAAGAAAAGGTCTTGTTCTGTTGCACAGGCTGCAATGCAGTGGCATGATCATAGTTCACTGCAGCCTCAAACCCCTGGGCTCAAACAATCATCCTGCCTCAGCCTGTCAAGTAGCTGGGACTATAGGCATGTGCCACCACCTGGCTAATTTTTTTTTTATTTTTTCTAGAGACAGGGTCTCCCTACATTGCCCAGGCTAGTCTCAAACTCCTGGCCTCAAGCAATCCTCCAGCTTTGGCCTCTCAAAGTCCCTCTCATGTTTTAGCGTCTATTTGGATTATTATTTTATCAAAAGTTTTCTTTTTTTAATATAATAAGCCAATATAGGAAATGGAGAGTTTAGTTTTCTAAGCCAAATGCAAAAACCATTCAGTGGCTTTAAAAAATAAGTCTGATTGTTTGAAAGAACACCATATCAATACTGACCATAGTTGAACTGATAAATGAACATGCGACCAATATGATAAGCCTCTCCTTTCCCACATCCACAGCAGACATCACTAATCATTCATTGAACTCTTTCCTAAAAAACCAAGATTGGTTCTGGGGTGGGGTATGGGGAGTGGCGTGGAATCGTACCCAACAGAGGACTTCAAGTAGCTACCAACACCAGATTGCACTGGAGAATAGGATGAAAATGTTTTATCATTAGTCTTTGTGTTTTCTCTGAATATTGCTTTATATGTACACTTACACTTAGTAATTGGTCTCCTTTTACATCCTGTTACTTGTATGTTATGACAATGTAGAAATAATTAGTTCATAGCATTTTCTGTCCTCCAAAAAAATAAGAAAGCAGGTGGACATTTTTATCATCCCCTAACTCTATTATTCTACAAATGGTCCAAAAAAGAGCTAATGAATTTTTATGCTATTATGGGATATCATATCTGTAACTGAGATGGTATTTTTAATCCAACTCCATTAGATTAAAAACAGGAAAAAATGGTGTTAATGTGGATCATTGTCACTGTGACAGCAAGAGTGCAAACATCTCGTGACTCAAAATACAGTCTTGAGAAATTCTCCAACCCCAAATAATTTCAGTTCACTTTAAGTTCACAGTGTTCATGTATGTAGATATAAATATATATGTATAAGATCTTTAAATATCATATGTAGCATTATATATTAGATGTCAGAAATATATATTTTATTTATAAGCGCTTTCAAATGAAACATTATAAAATGCAAACAACCATGGCAAAAGAGTCAAATGTCTGTCATACAAAAGCTTGAAAGCACCTTGCCAAACTTTACAAGTAGGTGTTGGATAATCCTTTGAAGGACGATGACAAGATTGATGCTACATCAAGTATATAGCAATAATCGTATTAGCACATTAAGATAATCATGTTTAAGAATAGCTACAAAATTTGCTTTTGGCTATAATGCCCAACCAATCAGGGATATTCTGAGGATTTATACTTTAAACAGAGATCTGTATTGATGCGTGTGATAATCATAGCAGAGGAGTCCTTATCCCGGGAAGCTGGTATAACCCCACGGTTTTAGTATATTTTAATCAGGCTGGTGGATTTCAAAGCAAGGAGAGAAACGAACTCTATTTGACGACGTCTCTCAATCCTTCTCTTTGAGATCTGCATGGGAGATAACAAAGGTCTTCCTGGTATCCAGATAGATTAAATTTGGATGAATTCGACCCCAGAGGGGTTCAACCCTACCTGGTAGCCAGTTCAAATACCGGAATGGACTGCCGCCACTCCACTGCCAACCGCTGTTGAAACTCAGGCTGTTAAGTCCAGTCCAGAGTCCTGAAGTCAAAGAACTGGTTAATCCTGTACAAAAAAAACAAAAGCAAAACTGGCATTCGAAATGTAATGGAGGGAAGTAACAGTAATCGTGCCTATTTCTCCTGTGCTTCTCCTAACATTCTAAGGTGAGTAACAAGTAAAGAAACTAAGACAGGGAGCACAGATAAGCTAGTAAGAGTCTT